CAGTTAAAAAAAAAAAAACCATTCTTCTTCCCCCTTGAGGGAGGGGGGGGGGGGGGGAGAGAAAAGATGAGAGAAGCTATAGTAAACACAGGAAGATTAGTACAGTATTAGAAAATAACTTCATCTGGATTCCTTCTAAATATTGTGAATAAAGTAAGGTGATAGCATGATTAAAGGTGCTTGAGGAAATTCCTGCTTGTCAGAATATATCAGAGGAACAGAGAAATCCTGAGTTGGACAGACCAGTGATGTGACTCAATGGAAAGTATTTTCCTAGGTTTGAATGTTTTCATCTTAAACCTTTCCCCAGCTGGTTGTGGGCATTATACAAGCTGCTGACCTCCCAGCGCTGGACATTGGGGGTACTTCCGATCCTTACGTCAAAGTCTTCCTGCTTCCAGAGAAGAAGAAAAAGTTTGAAACCAAAGTCCATCGCAAAACTCTCAACCCCACATTTAATGAATCTTTCACCTTTAAAGTAAGTTCACATTTGTCTTCTCTTGCCCAAAGGTCCAAAAATACACAAATACATTTCTTATACATACACCCTATCATCTTCCTTTTTAGCTCTGGTCTCCCCTCATCCATTGTGGATCTTCTCTCCATCTCACATCTCTAATCCCCACCTACCAAGAAAGACTCAACCAAGAGATTTACAATTTAATCCATATCACCACTATGTTTAATGCTTAGGTCCCTTATTCAGAACTTGGTGGTAAGACTCTCGTCATGTCTGTCTACGACTTTGACCGTTTCTCCAAGCATGATGCCATTGGTGAGATCCGTATCCCCATGAACACTGTGGACCTGGCACATGTGATCGAGGAGTGGCGAGATCTGCAGTCAGCAGAGAAGGAAGAGGTAAGAACTTATGCAGAATCCCATTCATAAACAAAGAGCTCTAACTGAAAGATAATTTGAAAATTGTATTGGTGGCTTTATATATATTAGAAGTGGGAAATGCTTTTCTGTGGACAGCTATCACTTGATTGGGGTAATAACGCAACTCATGGATGGCAGATAATCAAGAAAATTTGACAACAGCATCAATATCTTATGAAAAATATCCATTCTAGCTCTGAAATAATCATTCATTTCTTTCTACAGCATGAGAAGTTGGGAGACATTTGTTTTTCACTCCGATATGTCCCTACAGCTGGGAAACTGACAGTTATTGTGCTAGAAGCCAAAAATCTCAAAAAGATGGATGTGGGAGGGCTTTCAGGTAAGCATTAAGACATTAAATTTAACTATAATTGGTGAACAGTTTTATATACCATTTGGATTACCTCTTTGGGGGCACTCTGAATCTCCTGCTATTCTCTTTTAATTTCTGGTTCCAACCTCTTCTGGCTATGAAAGCAAACAGTCCCCATGGGGAGAAGGGGTGAGAAGAAGCAATGAAGTATGCAACTCTCAAGAGCTTATGTATGTGTGCAGGACTTATGAAGAATAGGAATGGGAATTAGTCTTCAAATTGTCCTTGGGTGGGAGGCCAGTAAAGTCCATTTACATTTTCCCTACTGCATAGAGTTTAGCTGGGTCTCCTGTTGCTGTGGCTTAAAAAAAAAAAAAAAGACAAATGAGCCAACTCCATTAATTTGGATCAACAGGTATTCAGCATATGGGACAGAAGCTCTGAAAGTACTTAGCATTCTCTCTTGGTTTGGCTGTTTAAGAAATGCTTAAAAACTTGCCATGAAAATTTGTCTTGGTCAACAATAAAAATACATACATAAACAAAACTATTTTGCCCTTTGTCACTCGCCCAGAAATGGCTTTAAAATTAAATTCTCTAATGAGGGAACTGGGAATACGAAGGCAATCATAAAGCATGTTCACATCTCTTTTTCCTTCATCATCCTACCCCAGATCCATATGTGAAAATCCACCTCATGCAGGGGGGGAAACGTATCAAGAAGAAGAAAACAACTATCAAGAAAAATACACTGAATCCCTACTATAATGAATCCTTCAGCTTTGAGGTGCCTTTTGAACAAATCCAGGTAAATCTTCCTTCTCTGCAATCCCATTTCACCTGAAAGTAACTATTCTAAAACACAGATTGAGAATATGCTCCAATTATTTCCAGCTACTTCCATCTGTCCAAAATTGGCAGTACTTGTTTCAAAACAGGAGTTTCTGGACTGTTATATGTATTTTATTTGAAGGCCTCAAGATAGTTTGTTTTGCAAACTGGCTTGTTATTGTATATACTGTAAGACCAGGCTCTTTTCTTGTAACTCATTCCATTTTATACCTAGGGCTGAGCTATTTGTGCAAATTGGTTTGACTAGTAACATGACTTACATTATAAATTTCCAAATTAAAAAAAAAAAACTGGCAAGATGTTCACAGTGTCTTGCCAAACAGGGAACACTTCTCTACAAATATAAAATTCTTTATACTTAAAAATAATTGTTAAAGAGTTGTTTATTATATAAAACTTAATGAGGAGAAAAGCATCCACTCCTCAATACCCCATAGTATAGTCTTCCCCTACCAATGTCCTCCTTTAGCTATGCTGCCAAGAGTTACATGGGACATCCCAACAGCTGGTTTAATGTATTGTTCTCCAGTCCACGAAGAAGCACAAAGTAACCCAGCATTTAATTTCACTCTGTTCCCACAGTTGAGCTCTGCTTCATTAATGAGGCTGGGGTGTGTGTATGCTGTTCTAACAGTTTATTGTGGGGCAAGTTAAGATGCAGGGTTTAGTGGATTTCCCTGCTGGCAGGAAAACATCAACCAATCACTCTCCCTAATGTGGACTATGGGCAGAAGGTGAGTTTTGTCAGATGATCAACAGGGAGGGCAAGGCAAGGCAGACAGGTAGGTTGTTTGGTGCAGTGCCACTGGCTGAAAGGGGAAGATTCTCTCACTTCAGGCAGTGCTGCCCCCTCCCCTCCCATGTGTCCTACCAACAGACCTCTGAGTACTCTGTGCAGGAAATCTGGGAAAGGAGAGCGTGCTGGCAGGTTGCATGGAAAGTGGGTGGTACTGGCATGGAGTCTGCTACTGTGAGACTCCTCCTGATTCAGCCACTGCTGCCTTCTGGCATGATCTGCCAATAAGATGGGTGGTGGAGCTGGAAGAATATCTTTCCCCTCACTGATCCCCCATGATGGCAGGTCATGTAGGCAGGCAGTTCTGTGCATGGACTCTTTGTCTCAAGGTCAGAATTCAGCCTTGTATGATGGATCAGTTACTATACTTCAAGACCCGGGGATGGACGTATGGAAGCACGGCCAACAAAAATAAGTGAAGCACAGCTGGCTCAAAGAAGGGGGGAAATTTCTGTGCATGCTATTGATCAATGCATCAGTTCTAAGTGGGGGGAGGGGGAGAAGTGAATTGTGTAGCTCAATCATGCCGGCATTCTTAGAAGCAAGTAGGAGTTGAATTTGACTCGAAAGAGGCTTGACCTCTTAAACAAGATGAACACTCTCAGATCCCCCACACAACCTGATGACACCCTGACCTACCCTGCCCATCACTACACACCACAAGGGACTGGAGAGGTGGCAGAAACCACAAGCCTGCAAAAGTGGAAGGAGCATGCTGCAAGTGATTGACTGATTCTGATCTCATCCTTCTGATCTGAGTCACGGCACCAAACTGTTGTGGCCAAAACCTGGCTCATTTAAATAAACCAAATGACTTTGAAGATACAACATAAATGTATTAAGCATGCAAAGAACTACAGGTAGTCCTCGACTTACAATCATTAATTTAGCAACCATTCGAAGTTACAACGGTGCTGAAAAAGGTGACTTATGACCGGTCCTTGCACTTACAACCATTGCAGCATCCCCACAGTCACATGATCAAAATTCGGGCACTTGGCAACCGGCATGTATTTACGAGGTTTCAGGGGTCACATAATCACCATTTGCAACCTTCCCAGCCACCTTCCAACAAGCAAAATCAATGGGGAACTCATGATTCACTTAATGACATGATTTGCTTAACAACCAAATGATTCACTTAACAACTTTGGTGATTCTTTAATGACTACCACAAAAAAGTCATAAAATCAGTGCAGTCATGTGATGCCTCGCTTAACAACTGCCCTAAACAACGAATTTTCCAGTCCCTATTGTGGTTGTAAGTTAAGGACTACCTATACAGTATACATGGGTTCCCAGCAAAGCATTGGCAAGCTTGCTCAGCAGTCCTGAACAAAAGCAGAACCACAGCTTATATACCTTTGGCTTACTACATGACAAAGGCAAGACAAAGGCAGACACAATATAAATTACCGCATGGCATTGGAATGTTTTTGATAAACCCATCTGGGTGACATTATTATTATTTATCCCTTCCTTTCAGGTCAGCATGCTAGCTATACTGTACTATCTTTGAGATATCGTCAATGAATATAAACAATGTGGTTTCTTGGGCCATTGATTCCTGTCTGGTTCTACCACCTGTCACCACTCAGGATCAATTCAGCTTGCTGTGAATGTTTTATTACAAGGACACTTTAAGCAGTTCACATGTATGAGGGGGCATCTGATAGGGTTGGTAGTGAATGCAGCTGATGTGTGTGGAGGAGGCAATTTATACCACCACAGGCAAGAGGGTGCCCTCAACAGCTGAAAACAGCCAATAGGACCCAGGCAGCAGATCCAAGTCCTGCCTCATCATCACCTCGTTCCCCACCAAAATGCCACATATCATGCAAATAGCACAGCTTGTATCAAGAGAAAGTGGAAAACAATATCTGCACTTAAGATCAGGATGAAACCAAAGTTAGCTGGCTTTAGGTTTAGGATGAGGGTAAGAGGAAGGTGGGGTCATGCAGACATGTCCTTAAAGAATATATGTCCTTAAAGAATCAACAAGGCATCTTCCTGCAAAAGTTAAGGTGGATATGCCCAACGTCTAACACATTGGGGAAGATTGGCATGTAGTCTGCTACTGTTATTGACTTGTCTTAGAAATTGAAAACCCTCAGAATTGTATCCTTTTGCAAAGTTCCAGGATAAATTTGCATTAATGTCAAGAGCCATATAATTTGTCATTGCTTAGCTTCCACTTGACCAGAAGGATCAAACTATCTGGAAGCAAAAGATCTTGGAAATTCAGGTGATATTGAAATTGAAGGATGCAGTTTTTAGAGAAGTGATGGGTTCAAGCAAGCATCTCAACTTTTTTCCTGTCTGCCACTATTCCTGCAAGCTGGCCTCTGCAAGTGGCACACCTCTATTTGGAATTCAAGATGGAGAAATAGAAGTTAAAAACAGGAATAGCCAGTGGGCAATAGTGGGAGGGACGACAGTTGAATTCATACATCCCTCCAATTTTCATGTGATGACCACACCTTTTCTCTTTCTATAGAAAGTCCAAGTTGTCCTGACAGTCCTGGATTATGACAAACTAGGCAAGAACGAAGCCATTGGGAAGATCTTTGTAGGCTGCAATGCCACGGGTACTGAGCTGCGCCATTGGTCTGATATGCTAGCCAATCCCCGGAGACCTATTGCCCAGTGGCACACTCTGCAACCTGAAGATGAGGTGGATGCAGTGGTTGGTATAAAGACCTCTTGATGTCCTTCACTTCCTGGCCGACTTCTCCGGCAACCGTTCCATCTCCCATCCAAAGCAAATGGGAGTGTGTGGGTGAGGCTCCCCTGAAAATGCCTGTTGGGGGGGAGGGAAGGTAACCTGTGAGCCTGTCTCTTTTCTCAGAGCCATTTCCTGTTTGAAAAAAAAAATCTCCAAGAGGAAAAAAAAACTTTTTAATCCACTGTGTGAAAAAAGAAAGAATGCTTACATAGTAATTGGAGACAAGTGATAGATTTACTATAAGTCAATCATGAGGCTTACAATGCAATTTATGCAGATTTAGATACATATTTCAGATTTGACTTGTGCATTTGAAAATCGAGCCTTATGTAAAAACAGCCTTTTTCCCCACAAAAGCATTACTAAATAGTAATAGTTTATCTGTCAAATTTGGCAACCAAACTTCAAATAAATTTACTTTAATCCTTTTTAATTATTGGTTATACTATAGGTTCAAAACCAAATTACTTTAAGGGATATCATTTTGTACACATTTTGGATGCTGATGTGGTGCCATGTTTGAAAACTAGACCTTGTATGGAAATCTATAGTAAACAATGTCTACAAATATGTGTACAATAGATTTTCTAAAAATTACAATGAACTCCAATTACATTAACTAAAAATTTTTGGAGACTGTATTATAAAACAACTTTATAAAGCTAGATCTTGGATAAAAATATAACATAACATGTTGAAAACATAGTTTAAAAATGAGTTTTCTACAATTTCATAATGGCTTTACATTATGACTAAGGCTAGAATTGATATCCATTTAGCTGGAAGTAAACCCTATTTAATTCAAAGACACTTTCTTCTGAGGAGATGTTATAGAATTTTAGGGTAAGAGTGAGGTAGAATTTTGTACACTGGATTCTGAAATACTTCAAATGTACTCCTCCTTACTTATTGACACTCTGTCCAAAATATGACTGGGTAGGTTGATATTGCAAAATGTAACATGTGTAGATTCCATATATAAAAATTTAGTAAACATAATATAGGATATCCTAACAAAACTTCCACATACTAGAAACTAACAATAATTTGTAGAGCCTGCAGTTTGATGCTAGAACATAATAGTGTGTGACACATTAGCCAATGTATTAAGCTATTCATAAAGTTTGTTAGTTTGTTACCAACTGAATTTTGAGTTTTATAACAGTTTTGCTTATGCATTTATCTGTTTGACAACTTGTGCTTTACAATATGTATGTTTATGAAATGTTTGATATTAATAAGGGTATTAGGGAAAATTTGCTACAAGCTTTCTTTACTAGCAATTTACTATCCAACTTGTAATAATTTTGTTTGTTAAAAACATGTTTACATTTTTGCTACAAGCTTAAAACTGGTTTATTATACAACTGCAATAGGTTTCCTGTTTGTTAGAAAGCAGTTTGATGCATTTTATAAGTGGAAAAAATACATTTATCCAAAAAAACTACTCTTGGGTTTAAAAGTGTTTGACAATAGTTTTACATAGGCTAAAACATGTTTACAATACTTTTGGTATAGAAAGATTACAATTTATTAGACATATTCAATAATTCTATAAATGTTTAAAATTTGGATGACTTGCTAAGAATTTATAGCTGATTACACTGCCAGTCATTTTCAGCAGAACTGAAATTAAAGGGAATAATTAAAAACCACAAATGTTGGTTTATAATCCTGAATTAAAATACTTATATGTAACTTTTATGCCAAAATTCTGTTTTTGTTACCAAATTCTGGATTAGATCATAATCCTTCAGAAGTATGCCCCCTTTAAAAAAATAAAATAAAATCCAACCTTTTGATACTAATATTAGGATTTTTCACCCATAATTTTGCAGCACTTGCTGGACTTGATTTCTCATCCCATTACAGTAGCTTTAAATCTTGCATCTTGCAAATTATTCTAGTTCCAAGGGAATGCACGACTCACCTTAGAGAATAACCATCATTTTAATAATAAGCCTCATCAATAAGGCTATCTATTAATGACTGTACCAGAAAAAAGACTAAGGGTTAAACACTACTCAGTTCTCAATACATGATTATACCAAATATTTATAGAATATACAGTTCTTATCTATTACTTTTTTAGTTGAGGCAAGATAGCTAAGTTCCACTTCCCAGTATTGGCTATAGAAGAATCTGCTCTTGCATTATTTTAAACTTCATATTCCTTGGGGAAGCAAATTAGTGTTAGTTTTTTAAAATTCTTGATGTAAAATAAGAACAACTGAGGAAAAAGGAATGGAGACGGAAAAGAGTGCAATCCCTATACAGTATACTTTACTCACATCCTATATATTTTACTAATGGAGCTAAATGGATATAGGATTGATGCCTTAGTCATTCTCTGTTTTAGGGAGAAAAGTTTTAAAGATATCTAGAACAGACAGATATTCTATCAGTATTTGTCCTCCTATCACTGCTTCCACCATATTTTCCTAGACAGTCATATTTCCCAACTTGGTGCCCTCCAGGTATGCAAGCAAGGCTATGACACCCATTATCCTTAGCCACTTAGGCTAGAGATGAAGGGAAATGTAGTCCATTACATTTGAAGTGCACGCAACTGAGGAAAGCTGCTAAGAATTCAATAGTTTCTGTGTCTTTCAATCAGCCAGAGATAGATGTGGTGAGATGCCTAGATCTGTAACAGCATTAGATGAGAGAAGCCACTGGGATACCTTAAAAAGCTGTAGCATGTTATGTAGTGACAAATTTTCAAAAGCCATAGTCCACACATTTGCTTATTCCTGAATAACAGCGTATTTCATTGCCAGAAAAGCATGCAAAATTTTGTAACAAGTGGCTTAGAATTGAGTCTTTGGCAAAGAATAACGGAAGGCCTGCTTATTTCATCCACGCACAATGAAACATTCACACAACTTCTTGGAAAATAGTATTGAGAAATAGAATTGTAAATCATAATACAACAAGTAATCATTGTGTCCAGTCAGAAACATTTACTTTGACATTCATAGAACTGACTATGAATGAGATGTTTGGCTTATTCCAAACAGGATAATCATACTATCTCATTTTCTAAATAAGGGCAATTGTGTCATTTTGCTGCTTAATCTTAGCAATATTTGTGATGGACAGTTGATAAAACAGATAGGAACAATGATTTTCAATTTATCTTTCAATATTTCAGTATATTACATGAGGAAAGTCATGTAGGATTCCCATCCTGTGCTGAGTAACAATCTATTCAGTTTCTCTAAAATAAGTGAGAATCGCCTCACACAACTAAGCTACTGAGGCCCTCAAAAGTACTATCACATCAGACATTGTATTAAATGGATCGCTTTCATTTTATCCAAGAAAGAGAAAACACATATTAATACTTAACTGGTGCAAATTAGAATAATAGTAAAGAGAATGTTGATCCAATGTCAGTTTTCTAATCAGTGGATTTTTTTTTTACTAATAGCTTCCTGTGGAGATGTTGTGGAGAGGGATTTAATAATGGCTCCACCCCACCAAACAGACAACTAAAAAGACTAGGCCAAGGTTATTGCCCATATGAGAGGCATGGTGGCCATTTTGTTTACTGGCTAGTATGTTTCTGTAGTTGTGGTGTTGATAGAGTTATGCATTTATCCACTCCACTTTAGAATATGCCTTGCTCTGTTAGCCTCATCAAATTAATTCCCACTGAGCTGCCGCACACATCTATTTTACTTTGAATTATGAATGTTAGTGAGAAGAGGAGCATTCAACATGGCAGTTGCTGAGCCATGAGATGTTTAATATGTCAAACGGTTGTTCATTTCAGGCAGCTGAAAGTCCACCTCATTTCCTTTTTCTCACAGTCCTTGAAAACTGATCAGTACATCAAAGATAATATTGGAACTGTCAGTCAGTGCTGTGTGCTGTACTTCCATCCACTGTATCTTGCTAATAACTCCATCTTTTCCCAACTTCTATCCATCCTTTCCACATTTTGGCATCAGCAAATATGAAGATGCCTGAAATCAACTGCCCAGTGTTGGAAAGAGGCCATCTTCTAAGTTTTGAAGAGTTGTGTAACCATTATGATTGAAGGGATTGTGTAAAGTGCAGAAGGCTTTGTAACTCTGGTGTGTGTTGTTTCTATTCCCTTTGCTCCTATGAACTACCCTCTGAGCGGTGCTGTCCTTTCAAAGCCGCTTCTCCTCTTTTGAAACCAGTTTTAATATTGATGTATTTGACCAAACAGTACTCTTGTCTGTTAATAAATAAGAGATCTCTATATTTCAAATGTGTTGCTCTTATTGTTTTTGCTTAGGGCTATACTGGGGTTGGGGAAGAGACTGGAAAACATTCACATCCTCTTGTAAGATCATGTCCTGTTCACCTATTCTTTGTTAATGGTATCCTACCCTCAAACCCAAATGAATGGCAATTTCATTGCACTAACTCCAACATATTATTTTTTCTCTGTCTTAATCCAGCGTTCCACAACTAACACCCACAAGGTATTTGGGAGCTATACTTTAAGAATTCCCAATTAATGTGACTAATGTTCCTTCACCGGGCACCAGGTTAGCTGAAGCAGTTCTATGGTGAAACTCCTACATTTTTAATACTATTTTTAATAATCTTGCCTATATTTTTCAATTCATTTATTCCAAAGTGAATGGAATAATAGACATTCCTAGTTTATGTCATAAGGGAGACAGCTAACCATCCCTATCCCACTGGAGTTACTCCTACCCTACAATCATCTAAATAAGAGAACCAAGATTTGAACCCAAGTACTGCATATTTTGTTGGAGAAGACTCCTGAGAATATCATAGACAGTCAAGAAAACAAACCAATGGATCATCAAACAAATCAAGCCAGAGTTCTCACTTGAGGCACAAATGACCAAGCTCAAATTATCCTACCTCAGATACATTACCTGAAGACCCAGTTCTCTGGAAAAGGTTCTAATAATGGGAAAGGTGGAAGGAAAGAGAAGAGGACCCCCAGCAGCAAGATGGATGGACTTGGTTACAGTATGGCAATGGGTGCACCATTGGGAGACTTGAAATAACAGGTTAGGGACAGATTGTGATGGAGGAAATCTGTCTTTGTGGTCGCTAGAAGTCAACACTGACTTGATGGCGCATAATCAACTATATATTTAGCTGTAACCTTTTGCAACCAATGAGCAAAGAGGCAGGGCAGCTCCTTTCTAAAGAGACTGCTGAATTGCAGTAATTTATTATGCCCAGAGAATCCCTAATGACAATAATCTCTGCCTGGAGCAACAACAGAGCTAGCCTATCTGGGCTGCAAAACTCCAGTCGACCCCTAGAAGGCAGCCAAGAGAGTTTTTTCCATTTTAATCCCTACACAACTAAATGCAGTACTTTTATTCTATTTATTGCATATGCACCGGCATGTTGTTATTCCGTACATCACTCTGGTTTCGGTTATGAGGAAAAGCAGCACATTAGATTAATACCGGAGCCCCCCTGGAAGTGACAAAGGCCTTTCAATAAACCACATTAATAAAATCAGCAAGGGGCTCCTGCTTTCTCCGTAGATAAACCTTTTCCCCCGCCGGTTTCCTCCATTTTAAGCTTCTCTTAAACCACCCGGGAGCAAACCCGAGTTTTCCCCCAGTCACTTCATGATTGCATCCACAGAGACTTCTATGTTATTATGAGGGCAGATGAGTGAGTACATATAATATATGCCTGACATTTAAGCGGTCTTGAAGTCGAAGGGATAGAGAAACGCCATTTCATTCAGGCGACGAAGAAGCGGAGGAAGCGCAGCTGAGTAGAAATCTACGCCAGGCACGCCTCCCCATCACCGCAGGCCCCGTTGCCATGAAGACCGCGTCCCTGACTACCCGCCACGCCTCGCCCATTTTTCCTTTCCCGGGTCTTGATTGGCTGCCGCGCGTCCTGCGGCGCGACTGATTGAGCAGAGAGCTGTCTGTCGCGACTTCCATCAGGGGGTGGGCAAGAAGAGGGCGGTGGGGCGTCTCTGTGGTTGCGGGAAGGGCGCCGCGGTCCACTTTTTCGGCAAAGAATCGTGGCGGAGGGGACAGGCGGGTAACCCCAAATTGAAGGAAAACAGGGACAGACGGGGTGGTGGGGTAGGCCGGAGTGATTCTCAGTGCCCGTGAGCAGAATAGGCACAAATCCTCTGGAGGAGGTTTTACATTCGAAGTAAGTTCAGTGCTGGAGGGGTGTCAGGGGAAGCAAAGGGGAAGGGGTGAGTCGACTGTATCTGACTATTAATGTCAAATGTCAAGGGTCGCGCCGTGCTGTCGCAGATAATAAATTGCATTTAAATCTATTTATTGCCATTTACTGTAATGCTATTCGGCTTTTCTGGATGACGTTCCCCACAAACCGGGTGTATTGCCTCATCCTCGTCTCCCAAGCTATTAGAATCATAGCATCTTCGGTGCATTATGCCCACAGTTTACTCATAAATAAGTTGCATTGAATATAGGGTTCAGACAAACCATTTAGACCAGTGTTTTTCAAACTTGGCAACTTTATGGTGGGAGTAGAAGTCCACCCATCTTAAAGTTGCCAAGTTTGAAAAATACTGATCTAGACCAGTGGTTCTCAAACTGTGGTGTGAGGACCACTGGAGGTCCCCAAGACCCTTTCAAGGGGTCCGCAATATCAAATATTTTAAGAGTTCTCAGTTTTAATTTCTAATACAGTAAATATTGATTGATAGAACCTACGTAAACCAAAGGTCTTTGGGGTCCTCCATCATTTTAAAGAAACAACTGATCAGTGTCTCTTAAACTTTTTTCTCCCAGGTACCCTTCCTGCTTTTAAAAATTATGGAGGATCCCAAAAGAGCTTTTGTTTGTATGGGTTATATTTATCAATATTTACTGCATTAAAAATTTAAATTGATGCATTTGCTGCCACTACCATTTCTCACAATTGTTTGATAGGATTTTAATATTATATTATTTTTCAAGATAGACTGGCAAATAATTTTGATTTTGCAGACCTTTAAGCAGGTTTTGGGGGACCCCCAGGGATCCTCAGACCACACTTTGAGAAACACTGATCTAGACTAACATTAGCAGGATTGGCAGATTGTGCTAAGCCATAATGTAAGATTAGAGCTGTTTCATCTTCTGCAACTGCTTTATTATTACAGTATTAAATGGTGGGATCCAGTTTCTGGTTGCATCTGTTTGATGCTCTCCAGAGACGGGTAAGAGAAAGAATCGAAGCATTGAACAATATGCCGTGTACAATTAGTTAATTTAACTCATAATTATAATTATTTATGGGTAAAGCCCTTTACCAGGATTTCAGAGAAGAATTTTCCCAGCTCCTCCTAGATAGGCCAGGAAATGAACTTTGGACCTTTGGCAGGTGTTCTCTTGCTGAAATATGGCCCTTCTCTGCATAGTTCAGTATGAGTGGGGAATACAGGTGGGAAGATTTCTCTTTCTCTCTCTTTTTTTAATATGCTGGCTTATGATTTTTATCATTAGACTTCATTCAATATTTTTCATTTCAAACCCTAAATCCAAATTCTTCCAAGAGAGAAAACTGAAATAAGACTATCACAAGTAGGCTAAGCCATGCAAATATTATGTAATTATTTGGCTGAATAAATCGATTGAGGTTGTTAGGTTGCTCCACAGAGTATTTGTTCATGATAAATTCAAGTTCCCCTTATTTAAGGTGACATTCATGTTAAGAATTTTTACTCCTAGTCCAAATTAGTGTGATAATAGTCAGATATGTGCCCTGTGGATTTTCTTTCCACCCCAACCTTAGAATCCTATATTATGTTGCTGCCTTCTTTTTAATCTTAAAAGCAGTTTGCTATGCAGAATATATGAGAAAATTTAAAACTAAACACCCTATTCAGCTTATTGAGCTAATTCTTGGAGTCTTAACATTATGGATTCTGCTATAAGCTTGCACTTTTGAAATAATCAAAATAAAAAAGCTGAGATAGGGATTAGATGTGCTGGGTATTAGTTTAATGGTCCCTTGACACCATTCCAGTCTCTACCTGAGGCTATGAAGGGGATCAGAATATGACAAGTGCCTTGGTGTTATATCAGGTGCTCCATAGCAGCAAAGGCTTTTCTTCTGTTTTTTTTTTCCCTTGCATTCTTTCTAGTGCATTTCTATTTTCCTTCAGTGCAGATGCTTTTCTACTTATCCGCTGGTTTCTGGCAGATTGGTGTAAGAAGGGAGTTGTATTCTATGCCAGTTCATATCCTATCTGAAATGACTTGCTTGGATTGGGAGCAAAAGTGCATATGATCAGGTCACTTAAATATGGAGATCAGCACTGTGGAATAGCAGGCCGTCTTTTATAAATAGGTTTGTCTTTTAGTTTTGGAATTTGGGCTGTGCTTGAAATATGTTGGTTCACAAATTATGTAAGTCAGGTTGCCATTTGGAGAAAGGTATGTGGTACTGCATCTGCTTAATAAACTTTCCTGTGAATAAAATTAAAAGAGTAGCAATTTTGTATCATCTTCTCCAGTCTGGTGCAGTCTAAAAACATTATATTATGCCAGTGTTTCTCAACCTTGGCAACTTTAAGATGTGTGGACCAACTGCCAGAATTCCCCAATCAGTTTGCTGGCTGGGGAATTCTGGGAGTTGAAGTCCACACATCTTAAAAGTTGTTAAGGTTGAGAAACACTGCGTTATACAGTAGTTCCCAGAACTCGAGTGGCTCACAAGAGCTTAGGAGTTGCCCTCTCCTAATAGACACCAAGTTGCAAAAGATGTGAGAAAGAACCCCTATAAGGTGGACCAGCTCTGTTGTAAATGGTGAGGTTATGAAGAGTACTTTTTCTAAGACTGTCTAACAAGGTCACGGCAAAGACCAAGACCCCTGGCATTTGGGTCCAGTTGAGTGGAGTTCCCTTTTGGTTGTTTACTTACTGTATTTGGTCACCATTTTATATTTTGTATATTGGGTAGCTTTTTTAACGTCGTGTGGTTATTTGTTTTGGTTATTGTTTGTTTTTCTTGCATGCCACCCAGAGTCACATTGTTGGAGTTGGGTGGCCCTATAAACCCATTAAATAGATAAATAAAACCTGAACCAGGAATGTTATGGTTCTGCTATTCTTCGCTATGTCCAGTATCACTGAATGCAGTGGTGTTCAGTGGTACGAAGGGAGAAATGGTTTGGAAGATCAGGTTTTTTATAAGGATTTGAAAAGTAGATGAATATATCAAGAGAGTAAGTCAACTGTGGTGGGTTCCTGATACGTATTTCCCTAAATATTATGTTTTCCTTATGATGTGCTTTCTTTGCAGCCATGACGGCAGCAGGTACTGGCAATGGTTTTGGCACCACAGCTTGGTGGGGGTTTTCTCCAGCACTCAACCTGCAAGCAATGTGTAAGTGTCACTTTGTACAAAATATGGGGTTCTCTTGCCCTCTGTGCTTTCATGCTTTATTATGAAATCGGAGCTTTCTGTACCACAAATGTGGAAGATGCTTAGAAAGTCTTTCACTAGCAAAATCTCTCTCTCTGCTTCTATTTGGGCTCAGTACAGTAGTGAGATAAAGTAGCTGCCTCTGAGGAAAAGGTATTTCTCAGTCTACCAGATGCTGATGTTCTGTTAGATGAGAGCCTATGTGTGTGTACACACACACACAAACATACATACATACATAGACAACTTGATGCTCCTCTGCGGTAATATTCCCCTCCCCATCCTTCTACCCATTATCAATATTTTTAGGTTCTACATGTTCTACCTGCTATTAATTTTTTAAAGGTTCTTTTAATTTAAAAGATGAAATCAATATGTTGCAAAGCAATCCTTTATTTTTTTTAAAGCTTTGCCTTTATTTACAAAAATGCCTCTGGGTCTACAGGGTCATTGCATAGTCCTCACAGCGTTTTTAGAAAATAAAAAATTTAGCCCAGGGCTTTGTCAGAAAATGTACCCTCCTGACTAGAAGAAAGCTAAAAGTAGACTAGAGGAGCTGGTTTGCCTTCAAATTAATGGGCATTTTGTTGAACAGCATCCATCATTGCAGCTTCTTCATAAAAAAACAAAGCTTTCCATGGTAGGCATTTTGTGAAAGCAGCTACAGCATGCTCTCAAATGTCCAAATGCCCACTGTCCCAACACAATTGGGCTTCCTTGATCTAGCTGTGTGCAAAAAATTAGGTACCCTGGTCAAATTGTTTGATTCTGTGATCCATAAGTGAACAGAAGCTGACAAAGTCTCTCCATGGCACAAAGTTAAAACAGCCTCTTTCTGCCAGTTTAAATTTATTCAAATTACTATTTACTTTATGTGCCAGTGTTTACAGATTCAGAATAAGAAAACATGCCTTGCCAGTTTTTGAACATGTAGGCTTTTCCTATTAGGAAAATAACACTTGTCTTTAGCACAGAATATAGGCAGTCGTGGATGGTACATGCTAATTATCTCTGTAGGTCTAGAATCCTCCATGGAACATCTGAAGCTCTCCCAGAATGGCCTTCCTGAACTGAATATCCTGCTAGTGGGGTCAGTAGATGCGCGACATATCCTAAAAACGATGAGTCAGATGCACCGGCTGCCACGGAGAAAAATCAATGTGCGTAACCTTTTCCTTCCATTCCAGATTGCCTTATGCTCTTTCTGCACTTTGGTGTGGCCTGGTAATTATATTGCTTTTTTTTTTTCTTTTCAGCTGCACACAGGTCTATTGCTTTGTTTGATTTCCCCTTGCCCCCTATATTATGCAGAGACTGAATGGTTTCTTGGATTATTTAGCTGAACTTTGCAAACCTATTATTTTCCTAAATAAAACTTAATGAAACATCTGCTATATTTTGGCAGTAGGACAGCAGAATAAAGCAAATGCCCCAGAGCTAAAATGTACATTTCTCCGCATTTGCTGCAGGAATAGCATTTCTCTGCTAGATATATAGATGACATGCAAATTATTTGTTTCATTAATGAACCACTGCCTTTCTCTTAAATAATTTAGAATGATCTATATTTAATTTTTATTGTATTTTAGTCTAAAGTTTTGCCTGTTGTCCCTCAAAATGGAGTTTTCTTGAGGTAGAGTTGCAACAGCAATAAGCTGCTGTTATTTGAACAACTTTAAATTTTGGTTGTGTGATATAAAATGATGCAGCAGCAATCTTGCTGAAACTAAAACAGGTCTGAGTCAGACTAGGAGACAGTGTGGGAACCTTACTGATTTCCATGATGAAGCGAAGCGGGTAATAAAGTGTAGTAGTAAATACAAATAAATGTTTGAAATCATTTTTAAGGGGATCCTGACAATTCTCCGTTGTTGCTGCAATATGCTCGGCTCTCAAAAAAGTGACCCTCACAGATTGGTTGCAGAAATTATAAAACCCTTTGCAAGTATAAACAGCGATACGTAAATGCTTGACAATGCAATTGGGATTGTTTTCAAACGTCAGGAAAATACCTGAATCCCTCCTGATCTTTAGCTGCTTTTCCATAAAAAAAATCTGTTATCAGTAGCTAAAATCCGCCAAGGAGATTGGGAAGAAGAGCTGCACTTTCTTTTGTGAGGGAAAGCATTTCTCTATTGAGCTATATCAGAGGCACCAGAACTAGTGAGTCCTCTTCTCAGATTTGAGTCATATTGCCCATGTGATAAAGTGATGGTGGTGTGTTGCCCCCTCTTTTCCTTTTCCTGAAATGTGTCTTGACATTAATTAATTCCTGACAATGGGCTGCTTTGGTAGCTGTCCAGCAATGATAGTCCTTCAGCTCCGCACAACCAGTGCTGAAGTCCATGTGTATTGCGGTTGACAGGTGAGGTGGAGGTGTGAAAGTAAAGATGAACAAGGGCATGTGTGACCACAGATGCAGCATCGCTGCAATCCCCCATAGCAACTCCTACATTCACACGGATGTCCTCTTGCACCCTTCCTTCATCATGAGGCTATGAGTCAACGGTAGTGATTCTCCCAGCAAGCATTTTTCAGTGTCACTTCATAACAAGAGGATCGTGATGCAAGGTGGAGGGGGTGGAGCAGGGCTGTGAAAGAAAAATTTGAATTCCTGATATTGGTCTCATAGGAGCTCTGCTTGAATTCGTGAATTCCTTGTGATAGGAGCGAAGCATAGTGTGTTAGCAGGGAATTGGAGTACAGCAGTTCGTGAATCAGTTTGTATTGAACCAGTTGAACAGTAAACTGAGAAAGCTTTTAAAAGGGAAGAAGAACTTTCCAGAAGAGTAGAAAGGTGCAGGGAGTGAGATGTCTCTAGAGTCGAAGAGTTTAGGATCCAGGATTTCTCTCTGGAAAGGCTTGACTGCATGCTTTCAACATCTGTGAATAATGGAAAGAGTGAGGGGCAGAGTTGCTGCTCTTTTGGGATGCAAGAATACTGAATAGCTGTAATATCTTTGTTATATCTTCTTTATTTACAAATATACAGGCAGCACATTAGTGGAGAAAAAAGCCAAAATGTAAAAGACAGATCCCCTAAGAGAGGTCCTACACCCCCAAGCTTCCTGCAGCCAACTCTCTCTCTCTTCCATAACCTAATTCCTGTTACTCTGGTGCACACTATATACTCTCTCTCATACATACACAGATGTACCTGCTTCTGTCAGCTCTGGCGGGTACCTCATTTTAAAAACTAGACAAGAATTCTCACCTCGTAGGAAATCGTGTTCTGATCATGTCCTCTACTGATAAAATATCAATCAGTTATTCTGGTTTATAACCAGTAATGAGGCAGGAGTGAGCCCAGTTGGGAAAGGCTGCAGGCCAGACAATCAGATATTTCATTTTGTGCTAAGCATGTCTTATCTAATTAAGAGCCAAACTTAATAAGATGTTGCAGATCTGTGATATGTTTCCCATCTTTTTAATCTGCTTTAAAAAAATTGGTCTAGATGACTCAGTGGTCCAATCAATGTAAGGCAGTTTCCATTTTGATATTCACAATGTAATGGGGAAGATTTTCCAGTTTGAATTGTCTCTCTCATTCACTCAGTTCTATGTTCTGGAGAACAATCTGGAGGCTGTGAGTCGGCAGCTGCTTTTCTTGAACCTGGCTCTGGAGCCTCCAGACAAGATGGGCCTACAAGGTAAAGGGAAAGAAGGGTTTCTCTACCTACCCCAGCTTTGTTTCCTTCTTTGGCAACAAGTTGATTTGGGCTTCTGGGCCACTCTCTGATGGTTGGGGATGGGTGACAGATCCAGAAAATTGAATGTTAATGCCTCATCTTACAACTGATGTCTTTTTGCTACATCCTCCCTCACCCAAGAGAAGAGTGAGACATTCTTGGAACTGATGGGGAACACTCTCCTCCGAAGCCAGACTGCTGCCTACTTGCAGGAGAAAGCAGGCCTCTTCATCCGTTACATCACAGACCCTGACTTCCAGCTGGCTAATCTCCCTATTTTGGACTTCTCTGCACTCAAGGTGAAGTGCAAATAATTCAGCAATGAGGTTATTATCACTGAGGAGCAATGAAGACATGTTTACCCTGCTGTCATGGCTTCTTTGAGAACCACACTCTGTAGCTACACTTCCTGGACTGAGGATTCAAGTTACTGTGTTCCACATCCTTTTCTGGGTTCAACCACTTGATTCTCCTACCCTCGTTTAGGACTCAGGAACCTGGGCTTCAGCAACTACCTAACTCTTGTTCTTTTTTGGATAGTTCAGGGAGCGGGACCAGTTAGAGGCCATCTTTCAGTTCTGGCGGAATCCGGACCCACGAGCTTTCCAGATCAAACAGCTTTGGGACCTACGCCTCCGGCAATACCTGGGCACCCGTTATGACTCCCGCCGTGGGGTGTGTGACTGGGATCTCACCATGAAGCTGCATGAGCAAGGGGTATGTAACTAGAAGGTGGGGTAACACTGGCCAAGTACATTTGGGGTTCTGGTACTACAGAGATCATGGTGGGGGCACTCTTTCTGCCCACACAATATTTTTTTTTCCTTCTAGGCCAGAATAATAAACTTCCGTGAGTTTTTCCAGTGGCGTGACACAGGCATAGCCTTTGAAATGCGAGAAGCTACTTATGATGTCCCCAACAAAACCTTGGCATCTGGACGTCTCATCAGACACGTGAGGCCTTTCACTTTCTTAAGGTGCTGGTAGCTGGCAGGGGAATTCTGGGAGTTGAAGACCACACATCTTCAAGTTGCCAAGGTTGAGAAAGACTGTTCTAGGTGATTGCCAAAGAGTGAGGACAGAGAGTGGTAGTGTGGTCTTGTTCTGATAAGGCAAATAATATATTTTTTTGTGAAATATGCATGTTGTTTTTTAGAAATCCTTCCCTTTCTCCAAGTTCAAAAGAGCCCATTTTCAGTGCAGGATATGCTGAGACATAATGAGTAATCGGATGGAGGGGGGGGGGAGGAAATTGAATTAAAGTCTCCCTATCCCAAGCTCTTAACTTTCCTATCATATAGTCTCATGAAACCATTGGAGCAATAGAGTGGAGTGTCAAAGTGTCATGTAGTCACTACTAGATTTTTCAGATAAGAGAAAGGTATCTAATTCACAGCCACCCTTTCAGAAATCTCTAGAGGTTTGCTGCAATTTGGTTATTTACTCCCATTGTTCTAGGTATTTATTTGGAGATAAATGCCAGTAGCAGTTCTGTTGTGAACTCAAAGAGTAGGCCTGTATTTACATTGCTTTCCTTTCAATATTGCTATAAATTATCTGTTTCTAATCTTCCTTGATCCTTTTTTTCCCTTTTCTTCCACTCCGTTTCTCTACAGGATGAAAGGCTGCCCCCCCCACCCCTTGTGATGGATCCTAGCAACAAAACTACAAAGAGTTTTGTGCAGCCTTAATTTAAGATGCCATGAGAGATTTTGTAGTTCATGTTAATGAAGTATAAATATTGTTAGAATCTGAAGCAGTCAGAAGTCTAATTTGCAACTGCCAGTTCTTATGCCATGAGACCAAAGGACATGGTCCAAAGTGAAGGGTGTTTTCCCACATTGGCCTAGCGATCCACCTAGTGAGATGGGCAGAATGTATAGGAGAGATTGGGAAAAGGGGGCTTCACTTTTTGCTTTTATAACCCTAGCCCACTTCCCTTCTCATCTTCATAATTGCTTTCTCTCCCTCCTCTAGCTAGAAAACCTAATTAGGGATAAAAACAGCAATATGACAGACCAAATTAACTCATTCAGATTTCTCATCTCTCAGAAAGGGGAACCAATACCAGCACGGGGATACTGGGGAGATATCACCACTGGCCCGTACATCACGTATGGCATTGAAAGTGAAGATCCCAGTCTGCTAAAAACCATCAATGGCCTCCCCAGTAAAGTGAGCACGATTCTTTCAGTGGGGAGTAGAAATTGACCTTTGTGAAGGCTATGGCTGCATTCAGATGTAGCCGAGAACAGAATCTCATGCCAGGACACATTTTCAAGCTGATCATCTTTTCATTCACAGAATGCCCAGGAAATCTCCTTGCAGAATGTCACTGCCCTATTGTATGAACTGAGATATAACACTCGCTATGACCCTTCAGTACCATCTGAAGAGAGGAAAGATGACGATCTTCGTGGTAGTGGTGACTGTACTGTGTTGTGTGCTACAAATGGTACATAGTTAATGGGTGCTTTCTCTTTAAGGGGCTTCTGTGGGCCTTTTCTGGTGCGCGAGATTCCTCAGTTCACTGTTCGCCTTTATGATTGAGTTCATTTAGATCTTGGTTTACCCCAGGAATTCAGAGCTGATTACCAAATGTTTTTCTATGGGAAGAGATGGATAAATTAAATTTGGGGTCTATCTAGCCCAGCAGTATCCATTTGTATTTTTAACAGAATTGTTCAAAAAGGTGGTTATTTATGTTTGCATCTTCCTTTTAACAAATAGAGGTTTTATACACTGCTTCTGCTCATGAATGTAGTCATCATACAAATTTCCCAAGAATCTCACATTTATAAATGCAGACTTTTCAAAAATTGTTATGTACATCTTGCCTGATCTAGGCTTTCTAAAGGAAAAGGGAGACCAGGATGGTCCAGGCCTGCTATGGAAGGAAGGTTGGGTGTTAGATGATCACTTTGCCTTTTTTCACCTGTTTGTTTTCCTTAGGGCTGCTCGTCCTCAAAAACCATTCCTTGGCTTTGGTGCACTGCTGCTTCCTTATCTATGAGATCTATTTTTGTACAGATTCTTCTGCTCAGACTGCTGGGATCTAAGATTTGCTAACATACATTTCCCCTCTGTAAACTGGCTCTTTTTTTAATGTTTACATAACTATCCCAACAACTTTTAGAAATAAAGGCCTTTTGGAAGGAGATAGACACTGAATGCTTAGTGTTGCTGTCTGTGCCTTGGGAGGGTTAATATCATTTAATCTTGAAAATCCACTCCCATAGAAACACAGGGCAGATTTCTTTTACATTCCTGCACAAGACCCTTCCCTTTAAAAACTTCACAATCAGAAGATGTACCAGGGATGGGGGAAAAAAAGATGGGCCAATAGAAGTTACCATGATTTTTTCCCCCAGATGTTTCATTAGCAACCATTTTCTGTACCTGCCTATAGTTATATTAGAACTTTTTTCTTCCGAAGCATCATATAACGCTGTAAACCACTGACCTTTGCAACTCCCTCATTTTGTGGTGAGGCTTCCGTATTTAATAGCTGAGCAAATATGTCCCAGGTTTTGCCCAGAATTTCCCCAGTAAAATTCTGAGCATTTCCCTTTGGAAGTTTCCAGTGAAATAGCCCATGGAAAGCAATAATTAAGGAATTAGGAACTTGAACTTCAGCTCCTAGCATCCCCAGCCGATAAGGCCTATGGGGAAGGATCCCCAAAGTAGTAATTCAGAAACATCCTGAGGAACGTAGATTCTCCCCATATCCTAGAATCAAAATGTAGACAAATTACTGGTAAAATTTTGCATAAAGCAATGTCTCAATTGTCATACAGCAAGATTTTTTTTATTTTATTTTTTGTTATGTCTTGTCCTTTCTTCTATTCCTCTAGAGCAGTGTTTCTCAACCTGGGCAACTTGAAGATGTTTGGACTTCAACTCCTGAATGTTGGCTGGGGAATTCTGGGAGTTGAAGTCCAAACATCGTCAAGTTGCCCAGGTTGAGAAACACTGCTCTAGACCCTGGTCCAATTCTTTTTGTCTGTCTCCATTTTCACTAGTTTGTGTCTTTCCATTGTCATAGGACTTCCTACAACAGAAGTTGTCCATGTCCATTTCCTGCCCCTTGACTGCCTCCTTGAGCTCCATCACAAAGTCAAATATCAACAACTTTTCAATCTCTTCTTCTTCTCTTGCAGGTAGGAATAGGGCAGCATGGAACTTCTCTGCTGGGGAGCCAGAATTCCTCCTATTGATTTCCTGCTGAGCAAGTAGGAAATAACCAAGTTCATTGGGAACTAATCTATCTAGACTAGTGGTGTTTCCAAATATCTATTGGCTTTGTTAGAAAGAGAGACCTGCCCCGCTCATCATGTTTGGCTGTTTCACCAATTGCATGATACATCCAACTCTCCAAACTTTTTCTTCAGTTCTAAATGCAAAACTCCTTTATGAATTTTCTAAAGTTACTGACAGCTATCCACATTTAAAATCATGTTTCCTTAGATACCATAAGGATAGGAGGGAAGAGAGAGGATGGGACAGAGCAGGGAGTGAAAAAAAAACTAATGCCAGACAACTCACTCATGTTTGACCCTGGTAAATGCAGTTTTGAGAGTCAGTATAACTATGCAAGTTGGTGGCACCATTATCATGCATATCTCAGCAGAATGAGACAGGTGGAAGTTTGGGGAAATTCAGTCAGTATTTTTCTAAGTCAATAGACAGAAACCTCATAATTGCATAGACAACTCCAGATCAAGCTGAGGGACCAAGGTACTCTTACTTCTAATTATATTCATTTCTTCTTTGTTTGCTTTTTGTAGCATGGTGCATTTTCTTAAACCAAATTTGAGTCTGGTGTCAGCTCCAAAAGCCACTCTCATTGTTGAGCTAACAAAGTAAGTTTTGCTTTTTTCATTCTCTCATTTCCAGCAGGACAAGAAAACAGCCCTCAGATTCTACACTGTGGTTGCATTTTTTGATGTCATTCATGTTTCTTTCCATTCAGCTGCATTGCTTGTTCAGATTTATACTAGGGAGTCTGGAATAATAAACTTCTTGAACAACTTGTATAATACATACAGACAGAAATTTACGCCTTTGTTCAGTTGATGTTTAGTCATTTTGTGTGGGAATTATGGGAGTTGAAATCCAGCTGATTTACAGGATACTAGGATGGAGAAGGCTGTTATGTAGCAGTCAAACAGCTGCTTTCCCACCACCACCAAAGTTTAAAACATGTAGGCTGAGAACAAGGCTAAAATAAACTAAGTAAACAAGCGGCCTGGCCCAGCAAAAGCCCCTTCAGTGATGAATAGGCAATTTATGATTGAAATGTGATGTATTCAGCTATTGAAAAAAATCACAGGATTTGCTAGTCTATCTAGATGCAAAAAAAGTTAGTTTTGGATGGATTGTTTTTGAATGAGAGTTTGGGAGAGAACCACAGTTCACTTCAACTTGTGTATTTTGATGTATCTCCATGTGTGCTGTGTATAACCATGTTTGTCACATGCATTTGCCCATTCTTTTGAGGACATCTGTTTTAGACAGCCTTGTCATGAGAGGTTAGAAGGCTTGTAAGTAGAGTGGAAGCCTTCCTTGCAATGACATCACAGCTCTAGAAACTTTTCAGGAGCTTGTCTTGCCAAGTTAAGAGACCACCTACACAGCCTTCTTGTCCTGGCATGAAGATACCCATTTATCATTATCTCTTTTCTCATCAGCCTGCTGCTAAGGTAGCCCAAAGAAAGCTTTAGATGTCTTGTGGAAGTGATGTTTTCCATTTTATATTGGCTCAAGGCTTTCCATGTGGACAGCCTTGGGTGCATGGTGGCTTAAGATGATGCAGTTGAGATTGGTGATCTGCTCAACTCCAACTGGTCCAGCAAATCTGCTGTGGGATTAGTTCTATCCAATCTGTGTCTAAAATTCAACTTTACAGCCACTCTGTGTATGTGTGTATGTGTGTTCTTTTCAAGTAGGTAGCTTGAGCAATCAACCCAAAAGTGGTTGCAGCCTCAACTGAGAGTCCAAAGCACCCAATAGATGGACACTGCACACATACTAGTCCTGCTCTTGAAGACCAATTCCATTTGTGTCATCTGTCAAGTGGGTGGTCTGGGGTGCTTTCTGGGTACATTGGGGGTAGAGGCTGGGCAGGAGGCCTTCCCTTGTATTTACCATTACTGGAGAGAGACTGGAACCCAAGCTTTGGAAACAACTTTATTTGCTGTAAATTGATAGGCAGGTTGGCCTAACCGTCTACACATGACCAGCAAAGCTCTTATCTCAGATTTCAACTCTTCAACATCAGTAACTAGTGGTTGCATCTTGCCTGCACAAATCCCAGTGACTCCCACTGGCAGCCAAGCAATTTAAAAAACAAAACAAAACTTTAACACGTACTGGCCAATAGGTCAGTGAGTTAATAATCATTTTGGAAAAATTGTGTGGATGTATACACAACTAAGATCCAGTTTGGGCCAGTGGTTAAGGCCCCAGGCTAGAATCCAGGACACCGTGAGTTCTAGTCCCACCTTAGGCAC